AAAAGACGGCGAAACTTCCGGCAACAAAAGCTCTCAACTCCGGCGACCTTTCACCAAATTGATAGCACCAGAGTGTTCTTCTTTCTCAGAGCAGCAGAATAAAGGAAAAAATAGGATGTTTTGGTGAAGAATAGAGGGAGTTGGGTGTGGTTATGTAGGAAGGAAGAAGAGGAAGATGCCAAGATTCACTCCTGTTTGTGCGGCCGAGTTGAGTGAACGGCGATTGTGTAGGATTTCAAACGCAAGTCCCTGATTCGGACTAATTTCAGTCCCAGTCAGGGTACACTTTTTGGTCCAAGTTTCTCCAAATTGAAATCCGATTGAACCGTTGGGGTTAGACAGTCAAACTCTACACAACAATATAATTTTCATTAATTATTGACAAACTTTATAATTCAATTATTTTTGGGGTCCTTCTCAGTAATTAATTAATTATCAATTAATTAATTCTGATAGGCCTATTTTCGGGGCGTTACATTTCTCTCCCCCTTAAAATAATTTCGTCCTCGAAATTACCTGAGTCATTGATTGAAGAGATTCGGATACTGTGTTCTCATTGACTCTTCGGTTTCCCATGTTGCTTCTTCAGTCGAATGATTCCTCCATAGTACTTTGACTAGAGGTATGGATTTGTGTCTCAGTTGTTTGACTTCTCGTGCTAGAATTTGTACAGGTTCCTCCTCATAAGTCAATTGTTCGTCAAGAGTTACGATTCCTTCAGTCAAGATATGTGATGGATCGGAACGATATCTTTTCAACATCGATACATGGAATACGTCATGGATTTTGTTCAGTTCTGGTGAAAGTTCTTATCGATAGGCTACTGGACCCACACGTTCAGTGATTCGATAGGGTCCAATATATCTCGGACTTAGTTTTCCCTTTCTACCGAACCGTAACACTTTCTTCCACGGTGAGACTTTCAGAAACACCTTGTCATCAACACTATATTCGATCTCCCGACGTTTTAAGTCGGCATAAGATTTCTGTCGATCGGAAGCCACCTGCAATCTTTCTCTAATGAGACGAACCTTCTCTTCAGTTTCGCGAACGAGATCAGGTCCTTCAAGCTTTTTTGCTCACTTAATTCTGTCTAGCATACTGGGGTTCTACAGCGTCTCCCATACAAGGCTTCGTACGGGGCCATTTGGATACTCGCTTGATAACTGTTGTTATACGCGAACTCCATTAGCGGTAAGTATTTTTCCCAGTTGCTTCCAAAATCAATTACACATGCTCTCATCATATCTTCAAGAATTTGAATTGTCCTTTCAGATTGTCCATCAGTTTGAGGATGAATGACGTACTAAAGTTAAGTTTAGTACCTAAGGCTTTCTGCAAACTCTTCCAGAATTGCGACGTGAATCGCGGGTCACGATCAGAAATGATAGAAAAAGGTACACCATGTAATCTTACGATCTCACGGATGTAAAATTCTGCCAATTTCTTCAAAGACATATCACGTCGAATTGGGATAAAATGAGATGACTTGGTTAATCGGTCAACTATTACCCAAACAGCGTCATTCTTCTTGGCTGATAATGGAAGTCCGATTACGAAGTCCATCGTAATTCGTTCCCACTTCCATTCCGGGATAGTAGGTGGATGTAATAACCCACTTGGCACTTGGTGTTCAGCGTTAACTTGTTGACACGTCAGACATCGTGTGGTAAATTCAGAAATTTCTCGCTTCATTGTGGGCCACCAATAAATCTTCAGATCTTGGAACATTTTATTACTACCAGGATGCATGGTATAAGTGGTCTCGTGAGATTCACGCATTAAACGTCCCTCACTTCGCCACTAGGAACTACCAAACGATCCCTGTAGAATAAAATTCCATCATTCACCATGAAATCTTGTCTCTCCCCCTTAGAGACAAGTTCACAAGTCTTCAAACAGTAATCATCACGTTTTTGTGCAGCATGAATTTCGTTCTCAAGAGTAGGTTGAACTCGGAGTTCGGTTATCATCTTTCGGCTCAATGCGTCAGCAACTACGTTAGCCTTTCCAGGGTGATAACCAATGGAGCAGTCGTAGTCTTTGATCAATTCCAACCATCTTCTCTGTCTCAGGTTCAATTCTTTTTGAGTTAGCAGGTATTTTAGACTTTTGTGGTCTGTGTGAATATATGTCGTCTCTCCAAAGAGATAATGACGCCATATTTTCAGAGCAAATACAACTGCTGCTAACTCAAGATCATGAGTAGGATAGTTACATTCGTGAGGTTTCAACTATCTTGATGCGTATGCCACGACTCTTCCGTCTTGCATGAGTACACATCCCAAGCCATTATGAGATGCGTCACTAAAGATTGTGTAGTCTACACCTGGTACTAGTTGGGTCAGCACAGGTGCGTCTGTCTGACATTTCTTTAGTTTCTCAAAACTTTGCTGACATGCATCGGTCCATACAAATTTCACATCTTGTAACGCCCTGAAACCTGGCCCAAAAGAATTAAGTAAATTGTCAGAGCAATTGATTACGAATTGGGCCTAAAAAGGGGTTAAAATTATAATTTGGATTTTAAGCCCAACTTTTATGTCATCTCGTAGGAAATATTTTTGTGATCGCGTCGGTTCAGACGGCTCGCGAATCGGAGTTACAGAGCTCAAGTTATGACCATTTAATCAGGTATTTTGGGTCCGAAGCCCAATCCTTTTTGGAATGGGATCATTAAATAAACCTAAACCTCAGCCACACAATCCTTATCTTCTCTCGTTCGTTCGTCCGTCCTTCTTCGTTCTTCTTCTTCGTTTCTCTTCTTCTTCCTTCTTCTTTCTTCTTCTTTCTTCTTCTTCCATTTCTTCTTCGCCGATCGATCGCCGCCGGAAGTTCCCCAGCCGGTCGTTCGCCGTCCAATTGGAGCCGCCGTCGCCTTCCCCAGCCTCGCCGCCATCATCGCCGACTGGTGCAGCGCCGCCGTGAGCCAGCTGCCAGTCGTCGCTGTCCAATTGCAGCAGCCAGCGCCGGTCGTCCTCTACCGTTCGACCACGCCGGCGTCGCGCAAGCCAGAGCCTCGCCGGAAGCCAGTCGCTGCCCATCCTTCGCCGGAAGTCCGTCGCCTCCACTGCCAGCGCCGAGTTGCAGCGCCGCCGCTGCTTCCTTCGCCAGTAGCCGCCGCTCAGCGTCGCCGAGCCTCCAGCCGCCGTCGCCGAGCTTCCAGCCGCTGCTTCGCCTTCGCCGGAATCGAGCGCCGTCGTCGCCCTTTGCACAGCGGCCATCCACCGTCGTCGAGTGCAGCGCCGCCGTCGAGTGCAGCGCCGCCAGTCGCTGCTCACCGCCGTCGAGCTGCCGCTACGCCACTGTCGCCGGCGTCCGTCACCATCGCCGCATCCGGCCGCTGCCCCGAGTTGATATCGCCGGCAGATTAACCTCCACGCCGGATTGATGGGTCGATTTCGTATTTTGACTCGATTTGACCCGTTCGGTTGATTTCGTTGATTTGTCTTCCGTTCGAGCTATCGACTCGATTTCGGCGTAATCCAGGTCCGTACTATGAAGTTAATAGCATTCAGAATAGATTTAATGGTTTGGATCGTTATATGTGTTTATGCTATAATTTGGCTAAATTGGTTAATTGAATTAAATTGATTGTTTGAATTGAATTGTTGAGGATTGTGAATTGACTGAACAGGTTTGACTTTGACTTGGGTTAGGTCATGTTTGACCTAGGCTTTGACTGGATATTCTGTTGTCGTAGGTTTGACCGGATGGTTAAATCCAAGACTTTAAT